ATGAAATTTATTTCAAACATTCATGTTCCCCTGAGGATGAATTGTAGGAGTTTTTCTAAATTTTCATCCAGCGCCATCATCAGGTTAAAAGTTCACTTTATAAAATACTTTAGTTCGTGACTAAACACCTGCACAACACACAAGTACAGCTTTGGCGCAGCCTCACCTGTATTTTGTGTTTAGTGGTAATTAACTAATGTTAGCATGCGAACATGCTTAACTAAGATGGTGAACATCGTAAACAGCTAGAACACTACTATCAGCAGAGAAATCAGTCTATACATGAGATATTTTGTGTATAGTGTACAAAAAAACCTGTTTCTTCAGAGGCTCAGCGTTGGTTTAGCGTTGGTCCGGTTTGGTTCAGAATGCCACTGGTTCACTTTCTAGTCCAGTTAAAACACCAGAAACCAGAGCAGAGTGGTGATCCAGTTCAGTTTCCAGAAAAGGAACACACTTCTTCCATCATCACATTTGGTTCAGTAAGACCTCATGTCTGGTCCAGGTTCCTACTGCTGACTAAACCTGGTCCACTTAAGACCAGGTCCAGAAGAAAGCCAGTCTTAGTAGTTGTAGTCCTGTAGTCGGTCTGTCTGAGTTAAGCTGTGAACTGGATAGACTCTGCTGGAGGTGAGACTGAACCGCTGCAGTGTAACGTGAAACCTGCTGCCTGTCTGTCTGTCACTAGTGACAGTGACACATCTACCAAGTACATAACTATTAACACAGACCTACACCAAAGTCAATTCAATTCATTTATTTTATATATATGAAGAAAAAGAAACTACATGGCACATTTTAGTGGTGGTCTCTTTGATCTCATTTGTGGAAAAAAGCTCATAAACACACCAAACAAAACTACAAATTCATGAAACCTACTTTTAACATAATGGCACTAGACAATATTAATAATCATCACATCAGGATAGAAAAGTTATTATATGAACGGGCGTATCGGTGGAGGATGTTGTTTCCAGTGTGGTCCACAAGAGAGAGCCACAGCCCTGCTTTTATGAGCTGCTAAAGACTTTAAATCCGCAGAAACTGTGGTTTGGAATTGTCTGCAAAAGAAGGGCCTCGGTCCCGCTTCCAAGTGGACTCTGGTAATGTTTGTGATGAGTGTGAAGATGTTCTCTAATACAGCCTATTAGAAAGGGAAAAGAAGGTGGCAAAAGAGGTGTACTGAGCTTGTGTCCTATTGTATTTTCACAGTCTCCCAATCAAAAGTGAGTGAAATTTTTGCCTTCAGACATTGTCTCCACTCATTTTCCACATCAGCTTTTGTTTTGGGAGTGAACTAAACGGGCACTTCGCCAACCTTTGCCAAGGTCAATCCACTCCAAAATGTAATGGCTTCTTCCCTGGCCCATGCTTCTCCCCTCCACTAAGTTTCATAAAAATCCGGCCAGCACTTTCTCCGTAATCCTGATGACAAACAGTCAAACCGACCGAAAACAGACCGAAAACATATCAAAAGCTACAGCAGTCGAGGTTTTATACAAACAAAGGTCTCGCAGCTTTAACAGTAAAAACAGATCCAGAATGTGAATATCCTAATGCCTTGTTTTATTTTTGCGTCTGAGCTCACCAGACCTCTGCAGCCTCATCTCTGCTGCACGCTAGAGGCTCCAGGCTACACTAGCAGCTGCTAACATAACACACCTGAATCTGTCAGCAGTGGAGTTGCATTGTGTGTCATGGATGCAGCAACTTTTGACAAGAAGAATGTGTGAAATAAACCATCTTGAGTCCAACAGTGTTAAAGGAGTACAATGCTAAATCGGTATAAAGTATTCTTTTGCAGTAATGCACCAATGAACTCCAGCACTGTTTCACATTTTATTGCAGTTGTAGAAAGAAAAGGTATAAATGAAGTGACAGTAAATGACGTCTGCACAATATCCATAATGCTTTGCAAATTACAGTAACTAACTGTAAATATGTTTTGTAGGTTAATTAGGCATTTAGTGGTGTTTAAGTGTAATAAAGTGCACCCTCAGACCCTTAGCTCCACCATAAAGCTCTGTCGCAAAATCAGTTATTGTTGCAGGTTACTTTCAGTCCTTTGCAATATTGTATTGAACGTGTGCGTGTGCATGTGCGTGTGTGTGTGTGTGTGTGTGTGTGTACACAGCTGCAATGTTATTTGTGTTGGAAAAGATTCTGGTAGTTTCCAAAAATATTTCCACATACAGAGGGCGAGAGAAACAGTTTTCTGGCTAAACAACAGCCACAACACACACACACACAGAGAGAGAGAGAGAGAGAGAGAGAGAGAGAGAGAGAGAGAGAGAGA